ATTAAAATAAACTTTGAGTTCAGACATTTCTATCACCACCACGCCCACCTCTCACCTCCCATCCCAGTTTCTTAGCTGGGGAGCGGGGCCATCTGCCTCTCCCCAGGCTCTCACTCTGGGTGGGTGGGGGACTCTCCTCCTGGACCACTAAAACATGGTCTGGTCTCCTACCCCAAGCTGCCTCCGCCTGAGCCCTCAGCACACCGCCTGCCCCCTGCGTTCTTTCTGACACAGATCTGATGTGATTCTCAGTGGCTCCCTGGGACCTGTTGCTGTGATTTGGATGCTGTTTGTACCCCCGGAGGCTCATGTGTTGGAAGCTTGGTCTTCAGGGTGGCCGCCTAGGGAAGTGGAGCCTGTTGGGAGAGCCTTAGGTCAGTTGGCAGCCTGTCCTCGAAGGGATGAAAGTGGTTTCCCATGATCCTTTGCAGTTCTCCAGAGAGCGTCATCACAGAAGGCTGATCCTGGCCCTGCCAGTCTCTCCCTGGCTCCCTTCTTCCCCCCCCCAAACATGGGCTGGCACCATCCAGCACGGGTGGGCCCTCGCAGAACCTGTGCCGTGCTGTTGAGATTACTGGTACCCAAAACTGTGAGCTAGGTAAACCTCTTTAGTTCATAAGTCGCCTGCTTTGGGTATTCTGCGTAGTGACGGGAAGCTGACGAACACGGCTGCGGTACATCGTTTAATGGGGTCTGGCCCGACCCCTCCCTTCACCGCTGCGTCATCGAGGGATGCGTCCTGAGACCTGTGCACTGGCTGGGCGTTATACGCCCTCTCCAGCCTCCCCCAGCCTCCTCGTCAGCCCTCACGCACAGTGTACTCTTCTTATCATTTTCTGTTTGGTTTTGTCCCTAATGTTCCCTCTGCTTCGAATGTCCTTCCCACGCCCGTTTGGTTTATTCATCGATGCCAGCAGCCCAGAGCCTATAGAAGTAGGAAGTTGTCAGTCCGTCTCCTGACGTCGTGTCCTTGGCCCCGCTGGGGGCCTCTTCCCTTCCCGGGCGCTCTGAGCTCCCAGGGAGCAGCGGCTTGCCTGGCCTCTCACACCTGCCAGCCGAACGCCAGATCTGGCCGTGCTCATTGTTAACACCTGGTTAATCTGCTGGGTGACATGGATGGCAGGCTAGCATTTTTAGTAGCTGTGGTGCTGAAAGGATTTCTGCCACACAATGTACCTGTTCTGAAAGATGACGCACGTGGAGTTCCCAAAGCTCTGAGCATGTTTGAGTGACACATACAGGGATCCTTGTTATCACGTATGTTATTCTAGCTCTACGCGTGACTAATCTATTAAGTGTTAACCCTGGCCTTTTGCTCACAATCCTAATTGAACAACTCGAGAAAAGAATCAGAATCCTACAGAAATGGATGGGGCTCTGTCTAGGAGCAAGCTTCAAAAAGTTTGTGGGAGAATGGACTTAAAAGCTAGTAGGATGGCGCCGCGGCTCACTAGGCTAATCCTCCGCCTTGCGGCGCCGGCACACCGGGTTCTAGTCCCGGTCGGGGCGCCGGATTCTGTCCTGGTTGCTCCTCTTCCAGGCCAGCTCTCTGCTGTGGCCCGGGAGTGCAGTGGAGGATGGCCCAAGTGCTTGGGCCCTGCACCCGCATGGGAGACCAGGAGAAGCACCGGGCTCCTGGCTTCAGATCAGTGCACCGGCCGCTGTGGCCATTGGCGGGGGGTGGGATGGGGGGGTGGGTGAACCAACGGAAGGAAGACCTTTATCTTTATGTCTCTCTCTCTCACTGTCCACTCTGCCTGTCCAAAAAAAAAAAAAAAAAAAAAAAAAAAAAAAAAAAAAATCAGCTAGTAGGAATGTTCCATGAACTTTTTAAAAAAAGTTTGTTTATTTTAAAAGCAGAGGAAGAAAGATATCAATCTTCTGTTTCCTGGTTTACTCCCAAAATACCCTCAACAACTTGGGGCTGGGCCAGGCCAAAACCAGGAACCAGGAACTCCATCCGGGTCCCCCACATGGTGGCAGGGGCCCAAGTACTCGAGCCATTATTTGCTGACCCCTAGAATGTGCATGAGCAGGAAAGTGGAGCAGAAGCAGAGGCAGGGCTCCAAGCCAGGCATTCCAGTATGGGATGTGGCTGTCCCTGGTGGCAGCATAGTCCATTGTGCCACAATGCTGGCCCCTCTATGAGCTTTCTGAAACCCCCTCGTGTTACAAATAGGAGGCAGGACACTTTGGACTGTTTATTAGCCTGATGCGAAATACTGCACAGTTGGTGCTCTGTAACCACAGGATCTGCATCTAGGGACTCAACCAACTGTGGATTGAAAATACTCAGGAAAAAAAATATATATGTATATATCCAGGTCTTTATTTTCTTGTCATTCCCTAAGCAATACAGTAGAGCAGCTATTTACATAGCATTTGCATTGCATTAGGGGTCGGAAGTAATTTAGAGGTCTTTAAAGTACACAAGAGGATTGCATCATTACGTGCAATGACTGCACCTTTTACAGTGAGGGACTTGAGCATCTGCAGATCTCAGAGTCCATGGCAGGGTCCTGGGACCAAATCCCCCGGAGGTGCAGAGGGACCACTGTTCCCCCCCAGGTTGGAAGCAGAGCCTCGTGGGCGCTTCTCAGTGCTGTTTAAGTGGGGGTGTTTTGGGCAAATCAGTAGCTTTGAATCAGAAGGACAGTAGATGACATCAGCATGGACCAAAGCCAAGATAGAAGCCGCTTTGTTGAGTCACAGAGCGTGTGTTTTGACAGATCTGACATTGTCCAGTTTGGCTGGGAAAAGAATCGAAATGAAGTACGGGTTTCAGAGAAGCCAAGCGGCATAAGGATGTGTGAATCCGTGCAGAGAGTAGATGCCACAGAGGCCTGGAGCCGTGAGACCTCAAGGGAGAGAAGAGAAGCTTCTGGAAGTGTTGCTGGTCTGTGGGCCAGTACAAGAGAGGCTCCTGCACTCCGTTCAGAGGTGGCCTCCCTGCCTTCAGGGGCCCAGAGGAAGCCGTCAAGAGTCCACTTCCAGGGCCGCTGCTGTGGTGTAGCGGGTGCGTCTGCCATCTGCGCCGCCGGCATCCCACATGAGCGCCAGTTCGAGACCCGGCTGCTCACTTCCAATCCTACTCCTTACTGATGGCCTGGAAAAAGCAGCAGAAGATGACCAAAGTGTTTGGGCCCCGCCACCCACATGGGAGACCCACAGGAAGCTTTCCACTTCGGCCTGACCGAGCCCTGGCCGTTGCAGTCGTGGGGGAGTGAATCGACAGATGGAAGCTCTCTCTCTTTGTCTTTCCCTCCCTTTCTATAACTCTTTCAAGTAAATAAATAAAAAAAAAAAAACTCCAAAAAAAAAAAGATTCCACTTCTTCCTATTCTGTTTTTACGTATAGAAATAATACCCCACGCTTCTGGAAAATATTCATAGAAGATTACAGTTAAAGGCAGGGTAAACAGGACTAGCAGAACTAGTGTTCATAAAGAAAGTGCAGCAATAGTCACATCAGAGCCGGAGGCTTGAGAAGCACGGTGACAACTGATAAAAGTTCTAAGCTCCCTTGTCGAGATTTGAAGAGAAGCACGGAGAATACAGTGCTCTCGTTATCTGCGCTGAAGAATGTGCCACTGGCCAGGGTACTTTTGCGCCTATGGCTGGTTGTGATAAAATAATTTATCATCCAATGGATCCTTGCATAAAAGACACTAAATAACATAATGGGCACAGCTTATAATAGCAGCTTTACAGAAAGGTGAAGAGATGTTCTTTGTGCGGCCAGCTGGTCTTTCCATCCAGATAAGCGTGGTGAGCCAAGTGCTATGCTAGGAAGACACTGCCGCTGGGACTCAGAGAAGTGTTAAGAGGCCGCGTGGCTTTCTGGGGACGTCATTTGAGACAGCATAGCAGAGAGACCGGACAGACGGCTGATGAGTGCAAACCACGGAGCAGAGGGGCTTTGGTTTTTAGCATTGAACTGCAAGGGTGAGCTGGTGAGTTGCTGTTAGAATTTTTTCAAATGGAAGAGACTCAAACAGAACAGAATGCATCACCCAGAGTAGCGTTTCTGTCATCTGCGTGCCATGTGTCTCTGCTGTGAGTCAGAGTGAAAGCCACTGCCGTGAGCTGTCCCTCGCTAGCGGGTCAGTTCCTATCGCTCCAGCCCTCCTGGGCTCACGGGACAGGGCCGCAGGGAGCAACACAAGCTGACATACAGGACGCCTAAGAGAAGGTGAAGAGGGAAGACCAGAGAGGGGACGCTCAGCCCAGGACAAGAGCCACTGGGCCTTTAGGTTGCACTGATTTCCTGGTTTCGTGTCTTGTCTGCTCTTTGGCCTCAGGACTTCTCTGAGTTCTTTCTGAAAACCCCGGCTTCCTCTGTGGCTCCAGCGGCGGGGCGATCAGAAACGGAGTGGGACCGAGAGGCAGGGTGCCCCCAGCGGGGAGGCCACTCAGGCTGCAGCTCTCCACCGAGAGCCCCTTCGGAGTACAAGCTGGGGTGGCTCCTTCAAGTTCCTGCTGCTGTGCGCAGTCGTACCTTTGTACTCCTAGGTACCGCTTACTTAGGGAAAGCTTTTGGTGAATTCCGTTCGCATCAGCTGATCCGAGTCGTCTCTGAAAACAGGGGGCTGCAGCCAGACCACGGCCTTGCCCGGCTGCAGGAGTTGAGTGCGGCAGCCTCAAGGGATGCTGAGCCCCTTAATGCAAGGAAGAGCAAAGCCCAAGCTCCGCTCCTCCCCCTGAGCTGCTCGCGTGGAGGTAGCTGCCACTCGAGAAAGGAGGGGAAGGAGTTCTGGGAGCATTTCCAACTACAACAGCTATTTGCAATGGTATGAGAAACAGGCTGGGGCGAGAAAAAGATGTAGCCTCTCATGGCGACTCCAAGTCCTGGGGGCAGCAGCAAGACGAGATTAAGTACCTGAGTTTTCCTCTCCCTCCCCCCGCCCCCCACAAAAAGCTTCTCACAGAAGTTGCCGGTCCCGCGGTAATAACGAAGCCACCTGCGGAAGAGCCCTGACCATTTCTCTGCTCTGTTTCAGATGACAGTCATGTCCCTTTCCAGGGACCTCAAGGACGACCTGCACAGCGACACGGTGCTGTCCATCCTGAACGAGCAGCGCATCCGGGGCATCCTGTGTGACGTCACCATCATCGTGGAAGACACCAAGTTCAAGGCGCACAGCAATGTGCTGGCCGCCTCAAGCCTTTATTTCAAGAACATCTTCTGGAGCCACACCATCTGCATTTCCAGTCACGTCCTGGAGCTGGACGACCTCAAGGCCGAAGTGTTTACAGAAATCCTTAACTATATCTACAGCTCCACGGTCGTCGTCAAGAGACAGGAAACCGTCACCGACCTCGCAGCTGCTGGGAAGAAGCTGGGAATCTCCTTCCTGGAAGACCTCACCGATCGCAGCTTCTCGAGTTCCCCGGGCCCCTACGTCTTCTGCATTACGGAAAAGGGCGTGGTTAAGGAGGAGAAAAATGACAAAAGGCACGAGGAACCAGCGGTCACCAGCGGGCCCAGGATCACAAACGCATTTTCCATCATCGAGACGGAAAATAGCAACAACATGTTTTCTCCCCTGGACCTCAGGGCGAGTTTCAAAAAGGTCTCGGAGTCCATGAGGACAGCCAGCCTGTGCCTGGAGCGGGCTGACGCCTGCCACGAGGCAGAGCCCGTGCGCACGCTCGCCGAGCACTCGTACGCCGTGTCCTCCATAGCCGAGGCCTACAGAGGCCAGCCTGCCCACGAACCCCAGAGCGCCTCGCCTGGCAGAACGGCCAAGGAGAACGGCGAGGCGCCTGGGGGCAAGCCCAAGCCGTGTCGGAAGCCCAAGCCATTCTCCCTGGCCCCAGACCCCGAGTCATCCACAGCGAACGTCCCACCCCCCGCCACAGCCAGCCTGGAGGTTACCCAGGAGCAGAGCCCGCAGCCCCCTGCGGTTCTCCCTCCCTCGACATCTCCCGGCCACCACGAAGGGAGTGGCCATTTTTCCAGGGAAGAGGAGAACCAACCCCCGGCCGCCCCTGGGCCGCCGGCGGCCGAGGTGCCCCCTCTCGTCTACAACTGCAGCTGTTGCTCCAAATCATTTGAGAGCAGCACTCTGCTCAGCGCCCACATGCAGCTGCACAAGCCCACGCAGGAGCCGTTAGTGTGCAAGTACTGCAACAAGCAGTTCACCACCCTGAACAGGCTGGATCGACACGAGCAGATCTGCATGCGGTCCAGCCACATGCCCGTGCCCGGCGGAAACCAGCGCTTCCTGGAGAACTACCCTACCATCGGACAGAATGGCGGCGCGTTCCCAGGCCCCGAGCCTCTATTACCCGAAAACAGGATGGGTGAGTTTGCCAGTCCCGGAAGCACCCTGCCCGACACGGACCACATGGTAAAGTTTGTCAACGGGCAAATGCTCTACAGCTGCGTCGTGTGCAAACGTAGCTACGTGACTCTGTCCAGCCTCCGAAGACACGCGAATGTCCACTCGTGGAGAAGAACGTATCCCTGCCATTACTGCAACAAAGTGTTTGCGCTGGCGGAGTACCGGACGAGACATGAGATCTGGCACACGGGAGAAAGGCGGTACCAGTGCATCTTCTGCCTGGAGACATTCATGACCTACTACATACTCAAGAACCACCAAAAGTCTTTCCACGCCATAGACCACAGACTCTCCATCAGTAAGAAGACCGCCAACGGTGGCCTGAAGCCTAGCGTCTACCCGTACAAGCTCTACAGGTTGCTGCCGATGAAGTGCAAGAGGGCTCCTTATAAGAGCTATCGACATGCTTCCTACCAGAATGCTCGAGAAAGCAGTCAAGTGAGACAGTCGGCACCCGGGACCTACGTCGTGCCAAACCCACACAGCTCCGAATTACCCAGCCTGAGTTTCCAGGGCAGTGTCAGTGCCTTGACCAGCAGTCCGGCCGTGCCCTTGGAGACATGCGCCCGGCAGGACACGCCCACTGCTGCCAGTGTGCAGAACGCAGAGGGCACCAGATGGCGAGAGGAGACCATGAAGGTCGATGTTGACAATAACTTCTACTCGGGCGAGGTGTCGGTTCCTTCCACCGACAGCGCCGTCAGCTCTAACCCCCAGGCAGGCAACGCACCTGTCTTACCTCTGAGTGGCAGCAGTGAGAACGCAGCCTCCGTGATCAGCTACGGCGGCTCGGCACCCTCGGTCATCGTGCACAGCAGCCAGTTCTCGTCGGTGATCGTGCACAGCAACGCTGTCGCCGCCGCCACGACCAGCAGCAGCCAGCAGGCCCCTGCCAACCCGGCCACCGAGCAGCCCTCGAAGGAGGACAGCAAAGCTGAGCCGGACAAAGGGAGTCGATTGGCAGGCAGACCCAAAAGCTTGAAGGAGAAAAAGAAAGCTGTAGCTTGTAACAAAGGAGAGACCCCAGAGGAGTCCAAACACGTGGTTGATCCTGGAGGGGCCCCGAGCAAAGCCCCCAGTGCCGCCGAGGAAACCAGTAAAATTGAGACCTACATTGCAAAGCCTGCCCTGCCGGGCACCTCCACGAACAGCAATGTTGCACCCCTTTGCCAAATAACAGTGAAAATTGGGAATGAAGCCATCGTGAAAAGGCACATCCTTGGGTCTAAATTGTTTTACAAAAGAGGAAGAAGATCCAAGTGTCAGATGCAGGAGGAGCCGTTGCCACAGGAGAGTGACCCGGAGACCCACGCGGACAACCCTCTGGGGCTCTGCCAATCCGAGTGCGTGGAGATGAGCGAGGTGTACGATGATGCAAGTGACCAGGATTCCACCGACAAACCGTGGCGCCCTTATTACAACTACAAACCCAAAAAGAAGTCCAGACAGTTGAGAAAAATGAGGAAAGTCAACTGGAGGAGAGAACACGGAAGCAGGAGCCCAAGCAGCAGGTGCAAATTCCCCGCAGAGCTGGACTGTGCCGTGGGGAAGGCTCCTGCAGACAAGGCCTTGGAGGAGGAGGAAAACAAAGAGATGCCCAAGCTGCAGTGTGAACTCTGCGACGGAGACAAAGCGTCAGGGGCTGCGGCCCAAGGGAGGCCCCACCGGCACCTCACGTCCAGGCCTTACGTCTGCGAGTTCTGCGCCAAGCAGTTCCAGAGCCCTTCCACGCTCAAGATGCACATGAGATGCCACACCGGGGAGAAGCCCTACCAGTGCAAGACCTGCGGGCGGTGCTTCTCGGTGCAAGGGAACTTGCAGAAACACGAGCGCATCCACCTGGGCGTGAAGGAGTTCATCTGCCAGTACTGCAACAAGGCCTTCACCCTGAACGAGACCCTCAAAATCCACGAGCGAATCCACACCGGCGAAAAGCGCTACCACTGTCAGTTCTGCTTCCAGAGCTTCCTGTACCTCTCCACGAAAAGGAACCACGAGCAGAGGCACATCCGGGAGCACAACGGGAAAGGCTTCGCCTGCTTCCAGTGCCCGAAAATCTGCAAGACCGCCGCCGCCCTGGGAATGCACCAAAAGAAACACTTATTCAAGAGCCCGAGTCAGCAGGAGAAAACAGGCGACCTGTGCCACGAGAACTCAGATTCCTTGGAGAATCAGCACTGCATTGATTCGGCAGAGGACAATGACCAAAAGGATCGTGTACAAACCGCTGTCGGAAATGTTGTCCTTTGAGTGGCAATAGTTAGAAAAATCTTCTGATAAATAAATCGCTAGGGTTTTTTTTTTTTTTCCTTTTAGCTTTTTTTTTTTTTTTTTCAGGTTTAGTTTTGTTTTGTTCACATAACAGTCATGAAGGAGTGAAGCGTAAAACAAACCAACAAACAAAAAGTCATTGGTGAAAAATTCCCGGAAAAGGATCCTAACGTCTACTTCGGGTTTTAGCGTTAACTTCCTGCCAAGTGCGGAAAGACAAAATAGCTGAATCCTCCAATAGTCCAAGTATCTTGTGAAAGTTAATGAAGTTCTTAGCTGTTGGTATTTCTACCAGTGGGGGCAAAAAAAAAAAAAGGAGCTTAATTTTAGGCTAATTTAGAAACTTTTTGGTAAATGCTAATGGGAACTGGCTGCTGAACTGTCTTGAGTCACTGGAGAAAAATAAGGGTCAGACGCCATGGAGATGGCCTCTTCCAGGTGTCAGGTGGTAAATGAGCTGTGACAGTCTTCATCCCCATCCACCTCCCGCACTCCTAAAACGTGTTCACGTTAACAGACACACGTGAAAATGCTTCACAGTGTAACTGAAAATACGTGTATACAGAGTAACCTGAAACAGAACACTCACGCATCTTCTAGAACTACTTGTCCGCCACACAGACCTTGTAAAATACATATATACGTCACGGTAACTTTTACCTGTCCATAGTCCCTGTAGAAAATCACCGTGAGCAATAGATCTGCAGCGAATGAGGGCTGACATGGAAATCAGCAGAGAGCATTTTGATCACAACTTAAGAGCATGCGTGTGCCACTCACTGGGAGCCGTGGCTGAGCTGTTAGTAGAACTGATGCCCTGAAGTCACAGAAGACACAGGTCATCACGCCTTATCTACGAGCGAAAGCCCTCCCGGAGCATCCCTGTGCGTCCCTGGGCCGTGTGTCACTTTGCAGTGGCCTCACTCGGAGAATGAAGAAGGCGCCCGTTCTTCTGAAACCCTCTGCAGTCTTCCAGCCATCCTGAGGCCATGGGCCCGGGGCTCTGTTCCAGACGGACTTAACAGTTCAAGTCAAACTCCACGAAAGGAGCGTCCTGGAGATTTAGCGCCAGGCACACGTGCGGTACTTGCAAGTGACAGAACGCCTGAGCCCTACAGTTGCTCGCCTGCTTGGAGACGATGCAGCTGCCAAGTCCATCCTAATAGAAAGCAAAAGGACAGCCAGCACCCCCACACAACCCCACCTATTAATGGCTTGAATGCGCAAGAAGGAGTAATGACCTTCTTTGCTCAAACAGTACCTTGTTTTGCAGGGTGGGGAGGGAGGCCGGGGTCCTGTCGGTTACTTCTGTCGCTCAGAAATGCACCCACAAAGCCCATTGTTTTGTCTTCATATGTGCAGGCCTCTGGCCCCCTCGATGAAAACCTTCTTGAGTTTTTCATTGTTCTTTCTCACAAACCCACACCATCAACATTGCCCTCAGTCCATTTGCCCTGCAGGATATTCCATCCTGTGGGCCAGGTTCCTGGAAAGCTGGAACTCACGATTCTTGTTTTTCAACACCGCCAGAACAGGAGGAAGAGAGCAGACGTTGCTACTGTGTGATCACCGGTAGGAGCAGAATTCGGAATCCAGCGTAAGGGTGACGTGCAGCCATGCTTGTTCATTGGATTTGATAGCTGGGAAGCCCAGGTCATCCGAAGTTGGAAGATTATCCTCATGAAGAGGTAGCTCAAGAGACTCCAGTTTCTGTCTACAAGCATTGTGATGCCTCCACGAAGAAGACTTAGTATGGATTTGAGTGGGCAAGAATGCATCTGAACACCCAGAAGAGGACATGGTTAAGCTTGACCTTTTTATACTCTAGTACTTTGCCGTTAAGTAACCCCGGTATTGTATCTGCATTTATCTTTTGTTCATCTAGTTTCACTTACATACAGTATTATATAGTAGAGGAAAGTGGGAAAATGCAAGTGAATTTAACTTTATTTTATACATTGTATATATTGTATACCTGCACCATCCGTTTGGGTTTTGTTAAAGAGATAGTCGCAAAGGGCTTATGAAAATCATTTTTGAATTGATAATTAGAATATTGAATAAGCAGTCCAATATTAAACTAATTTGTTTAATCTCAGTTAGGGTTATGAATCAAGGAAAATTACTGTGTATGTTAGTCATTCTGATCTAACTCCAAATATGAAATATGACACTGTAGTGATGTCTCTCGGCCCTTACATGTGGACATTTTTTAAGTGGACTTGTATGCTGATAATTCTAGACCAAAGTAAATATGGCAGAATATTTATACATGAAAAAAAATAATTTTGCAAATATTTTCTATAATTGTACTATTCGTTTAAAATGTTGATGGCTTGTGTTAGTTTCAGGGAGGGGTGTATATTTTGATAAAAAAATACTTGACTTTGTAATTCTGTATATTCTATACAATTTATAGCAGAGCCGTTTTAAAACAGCCTTGTCCCATTTTTTGTTAATTGTGAAAATTTTATGATGAGTGATGTTGAAGTCTGCATCGAGTACATAATGACCAACTAGAATTAAGTCAGTGTAAACAGTGGACGTACTGTATGCCGTACAAGATATATTGTAATTGCTGTTTTAGCATCTGTATTTTGGTTAGAAGATATTATTAAATGCAGATGTTAAGGGTTGGAAAAGTCTAATTTTATTTTTAGAAATAATGAATATAAATTTGTTTTTGCTTGATTAAAATAGCTTATTCCTACACCAAGTCTCGTTTTAGATGTTTTGATGTTAATTCTGTGCAGCCGTTCCATCCGCATGAGTCAGCTTTGTGTCACATGTGGTTCCATATTTCTCTGTTTCCTTACTTGTCTACATTGCCTGGGACCTTCTCACGTGCTTCGGACTCAAATGAATTACACCATTAAAACAAAACAAACAGACCTAAGAGGGAGTGGAGGCTTTCGGATAACTGAGTGTTTGGGACAGACCTGATCTTCAGAGGATGCATCCGCGGGAAGTACTCTCTGGGGATATGCTGCTGCCGTCCTCGGAAAGCAGACTGCCTTGGCTGGGGTCCAGGCGTTTGGTAACATCTTCCCATGGGCCATTCGTTAACGACCTCCACCCCGGAAGTAGAGCTGACTGTCCGCCTTTCATTAGGGACTCCGGGAAGGTCCCAGAACCACACGGAGCTGGGGGTTCCAGCCCAGGTCTGCCCGACTCCAAAGCCCATGTCTCTGCTCCTTCTCTGCACTTAGGGAACGCTGCCGCGTGACAGAGTCATGGGGTTGTGGGCCGTGGCTGTCACAGAGACTCCTGCATCCCTGCGGGATCCCTGTTCGCTTCAGCTTCTCCCAACTTGGGCCCGTTACGTTTCAGGATATTGCCCTATCAAAGCATTTTTGACAGTTGTCCACTTTGGTTTTTAGAATATGGAGTGAAATTGTAGTGCTATTCTAAGCTAGTGGTTTCTCACATAAAAATAAAGCTGTCCCATTGTCACCAAGCTCCTAACCTCAGCTTGCAAATGCAGAAATGCAGTCACAGCGAGTGAAAGGCTGGGGGGCCCGGGGAGCCCAGGCAGCACAGCCATGAGAGAGCCCTGCCACTTGGCGGAAGCATCAGTTCTGTATTGGTAGGGCAATCCAAACCAGATTCTCCAAATATTTGGAAGCTGTTGCCTGTTAAAACTGATTTTGTTGTCTAGCAAAACAGCATTTGATATTGGAAGAATTTGTAAGAGTTGAGGAAGTTACTGGATTAAAAGCAAAACACTCACTGAGGCAGTCCTGTTTGTGTTTGTTGTTGTTAGTGAGCCTGAGTAGTTTGTTTACACAGACATTCGGCTTATAGATAAGGTGCTTCCTGGGATCCCAGGCCTTCCCTAGAGCTGCTTGGCTTCAGGCTACTTCTGTCCAGCTTCAAGCTTGAGACAGGAAAGGCAGGCAGGAGGGGGAGGGGCTGCCAACTACTGTGCAGCCGAGCCTGTGGGATTCTCGACTCAGCCACCGTCCCCCACCAGCCCCTTCCCCTCACTGCCGTAGTGAAACTCAACATAGCCAGAGAGGGGGATGTCCCTGGAAGCTGTCATCTGTCGGGTTTATATATATCTTTTTTTTTTTTTTTTTTTGACAGATAGAGAGAAAGGTCTTCCTTCCATTGGTTCACTCCCCAAATGGCCGCTATGGCCAGCGCTGTGCCCATCCAAAGCCAGGAGCCAGGTGCTTCCTCCTGGTCTCCCATGTGGGTGCAGGGCCCAAGGACTTGGGCCATCCTCCACTGCCTTCCCGGGCCACAGCAGAGAGCTGGACTGGAAGAGGAGCAACCGGGACTAGAACCCGGCGCCCATATGGGATGCCGGTGCCACAGGCAGAGGATTAGCCAAGTGAGCCACCGCACCGGCCCCGATTTTTTTTTTGTAAATTTGAGAGAGTTACAGATCTTCCATCCACTGGCTCACTCAAATGGCCACAATGACTGCAGCTGGGCTGATCAGAAGCCAGGAGCCAGGAGACTTCTTCTGGGTCTCCTGTGTGGGTACAGGGGCCCAAGCACTTGGGCCATCTACCATTTCTTTACCTAGGCCATAAGCAGAGAGCTGGATGGGAAATGGAGCATCTGGGGCTGGAAGGCTTAGCCTACTACACCACAGCGCCGGCCCCATGCCTGCCTTTCTCAGGAAGGGGTGGTCAGCAAAGACAACTGCAGATGGATCCCAGGCCTCCCTCCGGCCGGTGGCTGCCTTGTGCACACAGGGGACTCACTGGGCGTCGGCTCATCTGTATGGTCTTCCCAGGGGTCTGTGAGTGGACGTGCGGGCACAGCAGGCTGAAGGCAATCTCAGAATGGTTGTACCGGGTTGGGCTGTCCTGTGCTGACCAGACAGGGAAGGATTTGAACGTGCATTGGTGTGATTTTCTGAGGAAGGTCAGCCCTCGGTGACCCCATCAGGATGCATACAGACCTCTGGCTCACTGTTAGGCACAATTTCAGCCGCGCTCTGCCCAAAAGCTGGGAGTTGCTTGCGCACCACGGCACCCCGTGGTCTGACAGTGGGGCTCTCCTCCGTCACCAGCAGCAGCAGCGCAGAGGGTCGCCCAGCCCCCCGGCCAGCTCCGCGGCCTGTGCTAGACCACGCCCTGGACCCTGGCTGCCGCTGCCACTGCTGCCATGTTGCTCAGTTGTAGCTTTCCTTTTTTTTTAAATTCGGGTCATTTAATTCCTATTAGCTCTCCTTTTCTCATCAACATTTGATTGATTTGGTTCCAGGCCCTCTGTCTCCATCAGTCTCTTTGCAGAGGCAACCATTCTCCCACTCTGATTTCCTCCATTTCTGAGAATGTCTCATCTTCTCCAAGTCCCAGCCATCTCTCTTCTATTTCTGTTTTCTGGAGACAGAAGCCCCCTTCGGCCCCTCCCTGGTTGGTACATACTGACTCCAGTTCTTCAAGCAAGATGGTCAGTGAACAACCCACATGGCTTAGGTGCAGTTTTTAAAAGTATACACACCATATTCAGACAACTATTGGAAGTATTGATTTTAATAAAATGGTTATATTTTTACTAGCAGTAGAGACTTCAAAGACACCAGTTTAATTTATTTAGAATGTTTTTGGGGAAACAGTCACTATTTTTCAGTAATTTTAAAATTTGACTTCTGTATATTTATAGGGATAAATATTTTATTCTTGTTATAAGAAACTGGTGAACAGGCATTTTGAAGTTGTAATAGTGCTAACCGTTGCTGAATTTTAATTCGTTTATTCAAAATATACCAAATTTAGAGAATTGGGCATTCAGTGAGACTCGGGCTGTGGAGACGGCAGAGGAAGCCTGTGTCTTCACAAGGAACTTGGTCTAGTGGAGGAGACTTGGTGAGCCAGCAGACGGCTAATCACCAAGCGACGCCTTGCGCTCCTGGGGACCCAGAACCAAAGCAGAGAGAAGTGGTATAGGGTTAGGACTGATGGAGTCTGGGCTTCCCCAAAGGGGTCAGCTCCAGGTTGGAGGAACTAACAGGGGCCACAGGTGAACGTAGACTGGCCTGAAAGCCTGGGGTCTGGGTTGGTGAGCCTGGGCAGACAGGCACCAGCCTTGTTAGAGTTGGGGCTTCTATCCTGTTCGCACAAGGGCAGTGGGGGAGCACAGGAGGTCAGAGAGAAGTACCCCAAAGTCCCAGCCAGGTGGGAGGGCATTGGAAGAGCTTCCACAGAGAGTGTCTGCATTTGACGGACTGGAAGGACCAGTCTCAACTGCGTGTCATAGGCTGCACGCAGGGCCTGCGGGGGTGGTGGCAGGGAGAGGACAGGTGGGAGATGACAGTGGCTTGGGCGAGGGTGGGGGTAGTGGAAATAGTAAGAACACGTCACATTCTGGACATATATCTTTAAACCTTTTACTAAGGAAAATTCAAATACATGCAAAAGTAGAATAGTTCGGTGAACCCCAGTGTGTCCATTATCTCAACAATCAACAACTGACCTTGATCTGTACCCTGACACACTCCTCCCTACTGTATTATTTCTAGCAGATCCTATACATCGTAACATTTCATCTGTAAAATGAAATTGCATCTTTAACATTTTTAATAGAACCATACCATTATCACACCTTAAAAATCGTTTCTTAATATCATCAAGTTCCATCAGCTAGAATGTATGATTGTCTCACAATTCTAAGAGATTAGAATCAGGGCCGGCACCGCAGCTCACTAGGCTAATCCTCCGCCTTGCGGCGCCGGCACCCCAGGTTCTAGTCCCGGTCGGGGTGCCGGATTCTGTCCCGGTTGCCCCTCTTCCAGTCCAGCTCTCTGCTGTGGCCTGGGAGTGCAGTGGAGGATGGCCCAAGTGCTTGGGCCCTGCACCTGCATGGGAGACCAGGAGAAGCACCTGGCTCCTGGCTTCAGATCAGCTCGGTGCACCGGCCGCAGCGGCCATTGGAGGGTGAACCAACGGCAAAGGAAGACCTTTCTCTCTGTCTGTCTCTCTCTCACTGTCCATTCTGCCTGTCAAAAAAATAAAATTTAAAAATTAAATAAATAAAAGAGATTAGAATCAGAATCGAACTAAGATCCCTCACCACAACTAGTGGATATATCTGTCTTTTACTCTATGGTTTCCCTCTTTGATTGTTTTTTTTTCCTCTCTGCAATTTAGTTTGGAAGATAATAGTTTATCTAGGATGTAGCAAGGCGACTTCCTCAGTGAGGTGATGTTCTCCCATTAGGAGCCACAGACTGGCTGGCTGAGCTATTGGATGTATTTTGAAAATAAATCTGATGGAATTTGCTAGTAGCCTGGGGGCTAGGGATTGAGAAAGAGGAGTCAAGGATGGCCCACCACAGCCCCTGCCCCCGCGGCCCAGTCTGAGCATGAAGAATGGAGTGGCCCACAGACAACCGGACACAGGGAGTGGATGTTCTGAAGGGGGCACAGACGGGGCGTGGATGCGAAAGTTGTATTTCGTTCACTCAAAGTGTCTCTGAGCCAGCGGCTGGGACAAGACTTGGCAGAGCAGGCAGTTCCGGGAGCTCGTGATCTAGTGCGGAACACAGAAAGCTAAATGCTTAGAGCGGCTGTAAGTGCTATGCGGAAGAGCTGTGCAGTGCTCCGAGGACCTCTCCTGGGAGAACATAACCCAGTCTGCAAGTTCAAGGGCAGCTATTATTTTTTCTTCTAATTTTTTTAAAATACACTGTTTTTTTAAAAAAAAACTTATTTTTTTAAATGTTTATGTTTATCTACTTGAAAGTCAGAGTGACATCCA